GCAGTCCACAGCTCTGCTAAAGCCAGCCCTGCACCAAAAGACATGAGACTCACACCCTCCTTACAGGGCACGGTCCATCTCACTAGGCACACTGTCCACAGAGGGCAAAAGGGAAAGGCCCAAGGCCCTGCTTGCAGGGGGGCCCACAGCCAGACCAAGAACAGAGCTGCCCTCAAAGGCACAGAGACCTGTACCCTGTTTACAGGGCGGTCCACAGCTCTGCACAATCTGGGATTCGCACCCTCCTTACAGGGCACAGTCCATCTCACTAGGCACACTGTCCAGAGGGCAAAAGGGAAAGGCCCAAGGCCCTGCTTGCAGGGGGGCCCACAGCCAGACCAAGGACAGAGCTGCCCTCAAAGGCACACATAGACCTGCACCCTGCTTACAGGGCGGTCCAGAGCTCTGCACAATCTAGGCCTGCACCAGGGGCACGGGACTCGCACCCTCGTTACAGGGCACGGTCCGTCTGACTAGTCAGACTGCCCAAAGGGGGCAAAAGGGAAAGGCCCAGAGCTGCCCTCAAAGGCACATTGAGACCTGGACCCTGCTTACAGGGTGGTCCACAGCTCTGCGCAATCTAGCCCTGCACCAAGAGACGTGGGACTCGCACCCTCCTTACAGGGCGGCCCAGCTGTCTGGATGTGGCGTGCCAGGCAGAGATGCATGAAAAAGGACAGGTGCCTGGACACAGGGATTGGAGAGGAGGCCACAGGCTTCAACCCAGACCACGGGAAAATCATCAAGCTCTGGAGTCTAAAGAGTTGGCTGCCACCCCACGAGACTCGGCTCCGGTCTGCAAGGCCGTCCTGCGGCACAACGCTGCAGACTGCTCCGGCTGTCTAAGGCCAGTGGAAGGAGGCTACGTCCACCCTGCTTACAGGGGCTCCTCTCCGACTGGCCGGGAATAGCAGTGGACTTTGACTCCCAATTACAGGACGTCCAGCGCTAGACGTTTTTTCTCATGTTAGAAAGAAGCACACATCCCACTTATGGGTTGCTGTGCAAATGGCAGCCAGGTCTGACAGTTGGCCTCAACTGATTACAGGGTGGGGCTGTACTGTGCAAGACCACTAACCAGATCCATGGCCTTTACAAACATGGTGGTGGGGACACACCTTGATTACAGGGCTGTCCACCTTCCACCTGACTGCTGCAAAAGTGCAACAACATCAAGGGCACAGACTCGTTTCTGAGTCACAGGGAACTCGCCCAAAGGCTCACAAAGCCCGAATTTGGCTAAGACATGATTGAGACCTAAAGGCAGGGAGGCCGTTCTGTCCAGAGTCCCTTTCCTTCACATCCCATTTCTCTGACTGGCTTTTCTCCTACCTCGCCTCTTCCCCGCTGCTTTCCCCATCCGCGTCTCCTTCCGGTTCTTCCGAGGCCTGCAAGAACAGAGACCGAGATGAGCTATAAGCAAACAGAGCTAGAGCATACATCTAGTGGCCTAAACTCTTAATGCACTTAGTATCCTCTGGAAACTTGCAACCTCTCCCATAACGCACAGGCAATACCTCTGGCCAACCTCATAAAGTAACCTCAGACAAGCAATAAAGGCAGGGTTGCCTAGATATTGCTCCCAGACTTGGGGCACAGGAAATCCCATCCCAAACCTTCCAAATCCCAGGTGTGCAACTTAGCAATGAAACCCGTGGGATGGACACTCCCCGTGCGCAATTTCTCTCACCTTTACCTCCTGTTTGGCTGGCCTGGCCTTCTTCCCTCCTGGTCAGCTCGCTGCTGCTCGCCTGCCGTCCCGTCTGCTTGTCCTTCCTGGGGCGATGCGCATCGACCCTCAAAGGGGACCGGTTTCGCGGGATTCGGGGCTGCAGCCTCAGGTGGCCGGTCCAGTCAAGCGATGTGTTCCATCAATCCCTTATCAGCAAGGGATTCAGCATCCTGGATGACCAGCTTGGGCACACTCAGCACGCAGTGGTTACAAGGGAACCACTGCAGAAATTAAAGGGGGCAGCGGGTGGGGAAACTTGGATGTGAAGTAACAGGAAAGAAGATTAGAGAAACAGCGCAGCGGGGAAGGATGAACTTGGAGGTGAAAGGCACCAGACACCAAGGAGGTGCCTGGCAGATCAATTTTATTTGTCCATTAAATAGCAGGCCAGCTCAAATCAGCTTTTCTGTGGTCTTCTCTGCTTCTTTCTGGAGGCAACCCACGTGGGTTGACCTCTGAAGGCGATCTGCTTCATGTGATTCGCAGCTGAAGCTTCAGGTGACCGATGCAACCGGCAGCAAAGATGGGCGACGTCTCCCACTAATCCCTTTTCAGCAAGGGATTCAGCATCCTGGGTGGCCAGCCCGTAGGCACTCGGCACACAGTGGTCACAAGAGGACCACTGCAGAAACGAAAGCAGGCAGTGGGCGGGGAAACTTGGAGGTGAAATAACAGGAAAGATTAGAGAAACAGCGCAGCGGGGAAGGATGAACTTGGAGATGAAAGGCACCAGGCACCAAGGAGGTGGCTGGCAGATCAATTTTATTTGTCCATTAAATAGCAGGTCAGCTGACACCTGCTTCTGTTGTCTTCTCTGCTGGTTTTCTTTGGCAGCGCCCCGTGTGCTCGTGCTTCCCCATGGGATGGCCTTGAGAGGGCACAAGCCCCCTCAAGTGACCACCAGTGCTTGACCACCCATAGAGCTAGGCAGCACTACACCATAGCTCGGGCTTGGGGGTGTGAAAGACTGTCAGTGCTTGACCCTTTTGCGAGCAGGGCAGCACCACACCGCAGCTCGGCAAGATGACCCCTAGAGCAGACAGCGGCGACCTCCAGGCCTTTGCCCGCTGCAGCCCCAAGTGACGCCTTAAGGAGGGGCCACGGGCCAAGCCCGATGGACCTGGCCTGCTGCCCCCCCCCCCAAAGACCTTAAGTGAGAACTACAGGGGTTCAGACCAGACCCACTGCCAACCCGAATGGTACCTTAAGGGAGGACAGCGGGGGCCTACGGACCTTGCCGCTACCCCCCCAAATGACACCTTAAGGGAGGACTGCGGGGGCCCTCCAGCCCTCCCCACTGCTGGCCCAAACATTGCCTTAAGAGAGGACCGCGGGCAGAGACAAACCAACCCTGCCCGCCACCCCCCCAAATGACGCCTTAAGGGGGCAGTGGAGCTGGCTACGAACCTGAGCCTCCGCCCCCCGCTGAATGACACCTTAAGGGAAAGCTGCAGCCGAGGCCCAGGGACCTCGCCCACTGCCCCCCGAATGGTGCCTTAAAGGGAAGGAACGGAAACGTGCAAGCCCGGCCGCTGCCCACCCCGCGGGTCACCGGTGCTTGACAGGAACTACGAGCCACGCAGCACCCACGTGGCTCGGGACGTCACTCCCCACAGCCTTTCACCGCCCCGGGCCTGCAGAG